TAAATTTTAAATCAATATTATTTATATTAAAATTCAAAATTAATTTTTATAATAATTAAAATTTTTACAAGAAAAATTTGATTAATTAATTTTAATAAAATTATTATTTGAATTTTTATTATCGTCATCATCTTAAATAATAGGCTCTTACTCAAAAATTTAATCAAATAAATTTTAATAAAGCAAATCCAAATATTAATTTACTACAGTTTCAACAAGTAACAGTCTAAAGTTGGTTTTTTTTTCAAAATAATCTACATCAGTAGCTCTTTTATAACTATTTTCAATAGCATTGATCATATTTTTATTTAAATTAGTTAATATATCAGCTTAAAGAGTTGAATTTTAAATTTCTTTACTCTTAGAAAAATTAGAATAATAAATATTTACATTAGTTTATGTTTGTTTTGAAATTATTTTAAAATAAATTTATTATTTAAGATTTTTAATTTCAGTAATAATCTCCTCTGTAGAATTTGAGTTCTATTTATTTACTTGCCACCATTTCTAAAAGTTATTAAAATTTTGATTTAAAAGAGTTAAAATTATTTAAAATACCTTAACTGTGATATTAAATATTTTCATTAAAATACAATATGGTTTTTATTATTTACTTTAAAAAATTATAAATTTAATATCATCATCATGAATGCTATTTTAATAAAATTCTATCAAATCTATACAAATAGAACTTTAAGTATTTATATTGTGTATTATTTTTTCAGCTTTATTCATTAAAATTTTCCTTATTTAATATATGCCAGATTCTAATTCTTATATTGAGTTTATTTTATAGTTGTTTATTGTATTTTAAAATAAATTTATCTCATGAGAATTTTATTTTAGGATTTTATTGAAATTTTCACTAATTAGATAATTAATTTTATTTTCAAATTCAAATTAATTTATCTTTTAGGCATTTTTTAGGTTAAATTGAGGTTTCGGTTAGTCTTATACTTGGCATTTTATATCTAAAAAATTATTTAATTATTTTTTTTATATTTTTCAGATTTATATACATTTTTTTTATTTTTTTAACTTTAATTATTTTTAATTTTTTTTTCTTTTTTTTTGTACAGTTTCCCATTTTTTACTTTTTTTTACAAATAAAATTATTGTTTTTTGTATTTATTTCTTTTGTTAAATTATATATTTAATTTTGAATATATTTATAAAATCAATGTGTAAATTATTTTTGATTATTTTTAGATTAATTATCGTGTTGAATAAAATTAATGCGAATAATTAAATTAGGCTTTATTATAAAATTTCAATTATAAACATTATTATATTCGAAAAAAATTTTATCATTAATCATTAAAAAAATTGTTTTTGTGTTTTCTTTTTTTTTTAAAAAAAAAATATTATTTAAATTTGTAAAAATAAATATTAAATAAATTATTATTTATTATTAAAAATACTATAAAGCTTTTAATTGAAATTAATAAAAATATAATATTAAATAGAAAATTTATAAAAAATTAAAAATAATTATTATAAAAAATTAAAGAAAAATAATTTATTATATTTATTAAAAAAAAAATGAATTTTTATTATAATATATTATGATTATTTAAAATATATTATATAATTTAAATAAATCATTTAAAAATAATTTAATTTATTAACATTTATAGAATTTATAAATAATAAAAATAATTTTTTTTATAAAAATAAAATATTAATTTATAATATATATATATTAATATATTATATTATTTATTATTAAAATACAATAAAATGATATATAAAACTAATTTTTGAATATAAATTATTTAAATAATTTTATTATTAGAAAAAAATATTTTTATATTAAAACATTTTTATTTTTATTTTTATTAAAAATATTAATTGTATAAAAAATAAAAAATGGATAGTTATAATAGTCTTAATTAATAATCCTTAAATATACATGATTCATTATTTAATGAGGATAAAAGTAAAAAAATAATATTTTTTTTAATAATTAATTTATATTAATCATTAACAAAATAGCAATTGTATCAAATACTTTAAATACATTAAATACATTTGATAAAAGTATTGATAATGAAGAAATTAATGATTCCAAACTATTTAAATAACAAGAAGATTATAAAAAATAAAAAATTAATTAGAAGACGCTGATTAATAAATAGATGAAAGAGATAGTAAAAACAATAAAAATAAATTTTAATTAATTAAATAAATATAAAGAAATATTCTTAAGAATATATACTCTTGAATAACTAAAAGATTTACAAGATGTGTTACCTTAAACATGTGTAAAATGCGAAACCAAATTTAATATATTGACATAGTAAAGAAAATAGTGTTATTTTTGTGGATATTTTGTATGTTAAGATCATTCCAGAAAAAAAAGAGAAGATCCAGCAAAAGTTAATATTAATAATAATGATACTTCATAAAATAACGGAAATTCTTCAACTATGAACATGAATAATTCTACCGATACGGATAAAAAGAAAAATTTCTTTAGAATATGTGATATATGTGAATTAAAATATTTGAAAAGAAAAATAAATTATGCTTTTTAATAAAAGAAAGAAGAATATGATAAAAAAACTAGTGCTTATGAATTTAAACAAAAAGAAACTTTATAATTATTAAAAATTAAATAAAATGAACTATAAAATATAGAAATATAGGTAATTTTTATTAATATATATTTAAAAATTATATAATTGATTATTTTTTTTATATAGAAAAAATAATAAGAAAATAATTTTGATGACGAAAAAAGGGAAATAGAACGAAAAATATAAAAATTAGAATAAGAAAATTAAGAATTAGAATAAGAATATAAAAATTGTGATTAAAATGTTTAGGAAATAGATCAATCTATATCAAAAATTTATGAAGATATCAATAACGCTAAAAAAAAATTAGAATCAATGTTTTTTTAATATTAATAAAAAAAATATATATATATAAAGGTTGAAAGAAGAAATCGATTTGAATACTTAGATATCATAAAAAGAAGATTAAATTAAAAAAATTAATAAGTAATTGAAGAAATAGAATTAAAAATAGCAGATAATAATTTAAAATTAAAAAAATAAGATATACCTCAATAAATAGAAAAAAATAAATAAAATATAAGTGAAAATAATGAAATAAAAAAAGTTATAGACGAAAAAATTAAAAAAGAAAAAGGTTGTGCATGTAAAATATTTTGATGATATATATATATATATATATATATATATTTATATATATATATAAATATATAATATTTTTAATTATTTTATTAATTTTAAAAATATCTTTTAATTTAATTTATTAAATACCATTTAAATAATACAAATTAAAAATTTTTTTTTTTTTTTTTTTTTTTATTTAATTTTTAGTCCTTAACTTTTAAAATAATCATTTATATATGCAGATATTATAAAATTAATATTTTATTATTATTATTTTTAAATTTTTATATTTTAAAAAATATTATATTTTAATACTAGCTTTTAACCTTTTACATTATCCTATATATTTAATAAAATTTCTTTAAAATTAACTAATTAAAATAAAATTTAAAGTAATATTTTTAGTTTATCAATTTATCTAAATTATTTAAAGAATGATGTTCTTTATAATGTTAAGTTTTTTCATGATTTTTTTGATATCCTTCTTATTAAATTATATGCATAATCATAATATCTTTAAATTTATTTAATAAATTGATTTAAATAATGTAATCATTATAATGTTATGTGTTAATTATCTGTTTATTTTTATATCTTTTATTTTATTTTATTTTATTTTATATCATTATATTATGTTACTTAATAAATATTATTACTGATAAATGATCTGTAGTATCTATACTAGCATCATAAAAATTTAGTAATTCTTTTACAATATTATTTATAGAAAGTGCTTTTTTTTTCCTTATTTTTTTGTTCTTATTCTTCTTCTAATAATTCTTTTATAATGTTTTTAATAAACTATTTTATTTTTTTTAAAGTGGATATGTATTTTTCATTAGATCCTTATTGATATAAGAAAATTCAAAAAAATTAATATTAATATTCTTTAAATTAATAACCTAGTGTAAAAACTAAATAAGATATAGATTATGTAAGTATATTTACATATACAATATATATTTGTAAATAATCAGTAAAAAAATTAAGCAATAATTTAGTTTTAATTACTTAAAAAAGTGAATTAAATTAACATTATATAATTTATTTTTCTTCGTTTTTATTTGTGTCGAAATTGTTTAACATTATTTTAATCATCGGAATTTTTTAATATAATCTTTTTATCTTCTACGTTTATAGAGACTTTTAATAAATTTATGTCTAGTATACCTTTATTTATTCTAGAAATATAATAATGTAAAAATACTTTATTTTTTTAAACATCATCATATACATGTTTAATATAAAAAGAAGAATATTTATCTTTTTTATTGTAGTAAATAAATGGATAGATTAGCATTATCCAAATTTTAGAAAGTAAGTGAATCTTAAGTAAGAAAATAAGTTTTATAAGAAAATATAATATAAAATACAAGAAGGATTTTTTTAATTATGAATTATTTAAACTTATATTTTCATATACATGTAAGAATAAGATTATAAATATATATGTTATTATATTTAATATAAAATGTTTTTTATTTAATTATTGATTTGAAATTTGTGCAACTTCTATATTATATATAAACAATATATTTAATATTTTATTATTAACTTTTTTTAATTATATTATTCATTTTTTTATATATTTATTCAATTAAAATATTTTTTTATTTTATTATATAAAATTAAAAAAAATATAATTATAATTTTTAATTAATATATTTTATATTATAAATTATTTAATAATATTAAAGATTTTCAATTAAAATCTAAATTTATATTAATATTTTTTTTTTTTTTTATAATCTATCATATAAAAAATGCACAATATCTTAAAAATTATTTTATTAGATCTATTTAAAAAAAATTATAATAAATTATTATATATATAAAAAATATCCAAAGTATTAAAAAATGTAAGTATAATAATCAAGAGATCGTATTTAATTATTTTTCTCAGCCACTAAATTAAAAGACACAGATATAATAGGAGGTAAAAGCGATCCATACCTAAAGGTCTATATAGTTGAAAACAAGAAAAAAACCCTCTTAGGTTAAACCGAAACTAAAGAAAATACTAAAAGTCCAACTTGGTCTACCCCCATAGAATTAGACTATGTTTTTGAATTGAAATAAAAATTAGAATTCGAAGTATATGACAAAGACTTATTAACTGCTGATGATTTAATCGCTAAAGGAAAATGTACTTTAGGTTAAATTATGGCTGAAATAAATAAATTCGAAATAAACCTAAAAACAAAGGATGATAAAAAAGATGCAGGAAAACTCTAAATTAAGTCAGAAAAATTAACACTTTCAAACACCGTAGAATGGGCATGGTCAGGCGTAAAATTAATAAACGTAGATTTTTGGACTTTAACAGACCCTTTTTTGAGATTTTATTCTTATAATCATAAAGGAGAAAAAGTGTTAGTTTTCGAAAACGAGGTTATTAAAAATAACTTAGATCCAGTATGGAAATCACATAAATAATCCATCACTAAACTTTGTTAGGGAGATTTTGATAAAAAAATACTCGTGGAATGCTGGGATCATGAGAGAACTGGAGGACATAGAATAGTTGGTTCAATTGAAAGCACTATGAAAGAATTTATTAAAACTTAAGGACAAAAGCATGAACTTTAAAATGAAGAAAGAAAAAAGAAAGGATAAAAAGATTTAGGGTTTTTGCTCGTTTAGAATATCAAAATCACACCACCTACTTTCATAGATTATGTATAAGGTGGTTACTAGATTAATGTTATAGCAGCTGTAGATTTTACTGCCTCAAATGGAGATATTAATGATCCTATATCACTACATTCTTCCGATTTATTAAAAAATTAATATCTTTAGACTTTAAAAAAAACTTTAAATGTGCTCTTATAATTTGACTCGAACAAAAGAATTAAACTTTACGGATTTGGAGGAGTACCCCAATATCCTAATTTAAAATCTTATGACACTGATCACTGTTTCCCATTAACCGGAGATGTAAAAAATCATGAAGTTTTAGGATTAGATGGTGTAATTTCTGCCTATTAAAATGCTTTGTAAAACGTTACTTTATGTGGACCAACTTTCTTTGCTCCAGTTATAAAAAATGCATCCGATATTGCCAGAATTAACAGCAATAATGATGTTTATAATATTTTACTTATACTCACTGATGGAGCAATTGATGATATGGAAGAAACTATAGAATTATTAGGGCAAGCTACTAATTTGCCTCTATCAATTATTGTTGTGGGTATTGGTAATGATACATTTGAAGAAATGAAGGCTTTAGATGGAGATTTGAGAATGAAAAGCTAAAATGTATAAAGAAAGCATAGAGATTTGGTATAGTTTTTAGCTTATAATGATGTTAAGGGAGGAGAATAAGAATTAACCAGACTTTTACTGGCTGAAGTACCTAATTAATTCTTATAGTATTAATTTAATAATGATAGATATCCTAAACCACCTTGTGGATATGTAATGGAAGATATACTTAGTTCAAAGAAATAATAAAAATGATTTTTTTTTAAAATATATATATATAATAAATTTAAAAAAAAATTAAAATTTTTTATCATTTTAAATTATAGTTTTAGTATTTTTAAATAAAATAATCTTCAATATATGTTTTTTTTTATTAAAATATTGAATCTTCTAATTCTTATGGCTTATACAAAAATTCTAAACAACTAATATTTAGTTTTGGTTTTGTTGGCAAAAACCAAAAGTAGTAATCTGATCCGAAAATTTATTCATATGTTTGTTAATTATTAAGGATTTTTCTTCTTAATTATTTATGCTTTTCAACTACAGTTTAATTCTTGTTTATATGTTTTAATTAGTCATATAAAACTTCATATAAATAAATTATAAAAATTATACTGAGTGCAGAATATATTAAACACTATATTTTTTATATATGAATATTTATATTTATATATATATTTATATTTATATTTATATTTATATTTATATTATATTTATATTTTATTTTTTATACAAGTATTTTTGTAAAAGTTATATCAAATAAAACTTTTAAAAAATCATTGGATAAATAATAAAGTATTTCATTTAAAAAAATTAAAATCAATCCAAAAAAATATATTATTAATATATATATTATAAAAAGTAAATAATATTTATGATTTTTAATTCTTACACAATTATTTATCCAATCACAGTGATGATTCATTCTAAAAATGCATTTTTTACAATATTTACAATTGTGAACTCTGTCTGGTTTCCAAGGGTTTAACGAACATTTGTAACAATATTTTACTTATTTGTTAATATTTTATAAAGGTATATTTTTTATTCTACACTTTTTTATTTTTATTTTTATTTTATTTTTTATAAAATAAAAAACTCTAAATACCCTGGATCTGATATACTTGCGCGAATATAACTTATATAACCTAAAGCAAACACGCATTAATATATAAAAAATAAAAAAATTTCGAATATATGAAATTAATATATTGTCCAATATTGAAAAGATCTATTTATTAATAAATATATTAAAAAGTTTTAACCAAGCATTAAAGTAGTAGTATTTATCTAATAAAGTCTGCCTGTTAAACTCATAATTTATTAAATAAATAATTTATTTTGCTTTGTTAAAATTTTTAATAAAAAAAGAAATAAAATTATTAATATAAATAATAAAAAAAATAATTATATATATATATATATATATATATATATATATATATATATATATATATAAATATAACACGTATATCTAATTTAAATATTTTCTATTTTTATAAAAAAATATAAGTATATATAACTAAAAATATTTAAAAAAGTAAAAATAAAAAAATGGATTTAAAAGAAATTCTTGATTAATATCGTCAGTATTACTATTTAGGTAATTTCTAGAAAATATTAGAATTATGGAACTAAACTGAAGATTCAAACTACGGAGAATACTTATTATAAATCGATTTTTTAGTAGCCCGTTCAATAATATGTTTGAAAGAATTATAGCCTTAAAATTAAGTATAATTTAATAAAAAACCTTCAAGTTAACTTATGATATGTGCCCAAATAGCAAGTAAATATTTAGCTCCATTAATAAGTCCATGTGAATTATCAGTATAAGATGAAGATAATTAAAATAAAGAAATATTTATTGAATTCAAAGAATAATTTTAATAAAATAACTAGTCTATAATTCATTTGATTATAGGCTGCTACATTGCTATATAAGTGAACGATTTATCTTTTTTTGTATAAAATGAAGCAAAGTTTAAAGAAAACTTTGAATTATTATATTTATATGTAGTTATTTTAGTAAAAAATCAGAAATTCGAACAAGCAGAAAAGAAATTAAATGAATTAAGAAAAATGAATGATGACGATGTTTTAACTCTATTAGCAACAATAAATTATCATGTAATTTTTTTTTTAATAATTATATATATATATATATATATATATATATATATATATATATATATATATATATATATATATATATATATTTATATATATGTTTTTTTGTTTAGATTTGTAATGAAAAATATAATGAAGCTGTAAGTTATATTGATGAAATTAAAGAAAGATTTGGAGATTCAACTAAAATATTAAATATTAAAGTAAGTTGTTTAATGATGCTTTAGAAATGGCAAGAAGCCTATTTATTATGTGAAAAATTATATTAAGCACTTGCTAGTAAATAAAATCTTTTGGACCGATCAGAGGTTGAAGTTTGTTTTAGTAATTTAATAGTTATATCAGAAATTCTTGATAAACCTACTGTTGAACACTTTTAGAGGCTTGAATAAGTCAATAATTTCTGTTTTTATGTTAAAAATTATTATGAAATGAAAAAAACTTATATGGAATTTAGTGATAAATTATCTTTGAAAACATAATGAAATAAAAAATAATATTTTTTTTATTAATTATTTTAATATTATTTAAGTTAAGTAGAACTTTTAAGTTTTTATTTTTAATATATATAAAAATTCAATATAAAAATGTTTAAATTTACAATTTTTATTTTTTTTAAAAAGAAATTAATAAAATATTTTTCATATTTATAAATTTTTACTTACATAAACTTTATTATTTTACAAATAATTTCTTTCGAAATTTTGTAATTTATCAAAGTCTTATTGATCACTTTCTCCTGTTAAAACAAGTAAAGAATCAATATTTGTGTTCACAGTCATTTAAATATCAGTATCTATTTTATCTCCTATCATTATACATTATTTAGGATTTAAATTAAAATCATTTATGAATAAATTTAATCCATAATTATTAGGCATAGCTATGTTTACATAATTTAATATATCTTTATCTTCTTTTTGATTCAAAAAAAGTAGGCTTTGGGCTAAGCTATCTACAGAAGGCATTAATCGTCCATTACTAAATTTGATACCAAGTGTATTTTCAGTAACAAAAAGTTTAGCTTTATTTTCATAAACCAATAAACTACAATAGCACATCTTATAGTAATTAAAATTATAATTAAATCCCAAAACTATCGCATTTATATCTTTATCTATTTTCATTTCTTAAAAATATTCATGGTCTATTATTTTTAAATCGTCATGTATTTTAGAATTTAAAATAGAATTCTTTATTGATTAAATTCCTTTTTAATTTATTAATGTATTAATTTTTTTTTTAAATACATCTATTAATCCATCTTCACCCATTAAATATACTTTTTATATTTCAGGATAGTCTTTTTTTATATGATAAGCAAGTAAAGAACTTGATAAATGAATTTAGCCAATGTTTGTTTCAAATCCGTAATTTTTTAATCGCTCAAGTATTGTTTTACGACTTCTAATGCAATTATTTGAAATAAAAAATATATCTTTGTTTATACTTTTTAAATAGTTTAATGCTTCAAATGCAAAAGGAATTTTTTAACCCCCTTTCCATAAAACACCATCACAATCGAATATAAATGATTAATATTTATTTACTATATCTTTAAAATTAGATAATTTAATTTTTTTTAATTTATTCTTAAATAAAAAATTATTGAATATATAAATATTTAATTTTTAAAAATAAATAATTGAATTCAATTCTTTGTTATATTATATTTATTTTTTATTTAATGTAGATATTTTTATTTCTATTGAAATAAAAATTATATTATAATTTTATTTAATATTTTAATATAGTTAATTTTTTTTTATTAATATTTTTTTATAAATTTTTAAATATAATGAAATTACTTTAGTTTTTATATACAAAAAAATAATATTCTTAAATATATATATTATAATTATATATTTAATTTTAATATAAAACATAAATAAATAATAAAAATATATTTTTTTTCATTAATACTTTTTTTTATTTTTAAAATATAATAAATATTAAATATATAAATATTAAATAATCCGTTTGAAAAAAAATCATTTAAAAAATAAAAAATAATGCATAAGTAAATTAATAGCAACCAAATAATAAGTTACAGAGAATTAAAATAAAGGCAAAATTAATTAAATAATATAATAAACAATTAAAATTCAACAAGTATTAACAAAATTGCACAAAAAATATAACCTCCAAACGCTCCAAAAATACCATCATAGTCAGTATTTGAAAACAATAGCAAATCATAAATACAAAAAAGCTTTAGTTTATACACTAATCGTTAATAAACATTAAAAAATGAAGAAAAAATAAAAATTAACAATAATAGTAATAGTAATATAAATCTAAAAAGCATTTAATAATAAATAAATAATAGTAAATAAAATATAAATATTAATAAAGAAAATATAAATATTGAAAATATTAATAATAATATAATTTTGAATAAAAATAATGAAAAAGTTTAAGCAGATTAGAAAAATTACAAAGTGGGGTTTTTCGGAGTTTCTAAAAGCAATTTAAGCTTTTAGAATGAAATTACTTTGGATGATATTGATTAATATATAGAAAAAGTTTTTGCTTAAGAAAAATGTATTGATATTTAAGAAAATAAAAAAGTTAAGTTTACTGGTGATTAAATAATATAATAATAATAAATGGAAAACGAAAAAGTATAATTTTTAGAAAATTCTTTGAAAAATTTGAAAAAATAGATGGAAGAAACAAAAAGTAAAAATTAAATTTTGGAAAAAAAAATTAAGAATATGAAAATTTGATTTTAGAATTAAAACAAAAAATGGAAATCTAAAATAAAGCTTTTTAAATGAAATTTAATTTGTCAGAAATTAAAGTTTAGTAATTGGAAATAAAAAATTAAGATTTTCTTATTTAATAAAATAAACTTATGAATTTAATTGCTAAAGTTCATTAAATATTAGTTATAATTGAATTTAAATTTAAAAATAATTCTTTATTATGTAATGAAAATTAAAACAATAGATAATCTAACCATTAAAGTATTTATTATACTATTAATTTTATTTTATATATAAAAAATATACAGATAATTATGTTAGTATTTAATAAAGCATAAAATCTATTTTAAACAATCTTGAACCTATGTTATAAGATTTAGAAGAAAAAAAATTGTTTTAGGATAAAATCTTAATAATATTTGTTAGGATGAAAACATTAATTAAATTGAAAATAAATATGTTTCATATAATAGCCGAGTATCTGAAAATGCATTTTAGTAGCCTAATAAGGAAGCTTATTAAACTGATATAGCTGTTTAAATTGATAACATTAAATAAAGAATATGTGAAAGGAAAAACAAAAGAAAAAACTAAAGTTTTTGTTAAAATACATCTTTTTCTTCTATCGAAAGTTAAAATGATAATAGTTTTTTATAATTTGAAAAAAAAAATTACTTGAATAATTTAATGTTAATTAAATAAATTATTAATGAATATTTATTTATTATTATTATTAATTAAAAATTATAATTTTTTTAAACAAATTTTATTATTATTAAAGAAAAATAAATATTAAAATAATAATTAAAATAAAAGAATAAAAATAATTAGATATTATAATGAAATTACATAAATATAAAATAATTGAATTATTTAATTATTAAAATAATTGAATATCATTTTAAATTATCTAATTAAATATATTTAAAATTACAAAATAAATCATTTTATCTTAATTTATTAATTTAACAAAAAAAAAAAGATTAATAAAAAAAAAATATTATTAGCAAAAGTAAAAATAATAAAAAAAAAGATTAAAATAATGGAAATGAACTTATAATCATGTAATTTAAAATAAATAAATATATAATTTAATTAAAAAATATATAAAAAAAGTAAATTGTGATAATATAAATGAATCTAAAAGTTATATTTAAGAAAACAAATTATAAATTCCTTTTATAAATGAATTAAATAGTAATTAATTTTTTCCTTAAAGTTATAGCGAAAAATCTTAAACGGAAATGCAATTGTCTTAAGATTCTTTAATTTCTCCATTAATAAAGCTTAGTTTATTAAAAAAAATAAGTACATTAATAAATAATGATAATTTAGATATTAAAGACCCTGAAATAAGTGAGGTTTTTATTTTATTTTGTTGACTTTTTTTTATAAATAAAAAAAGCTTGCAGTATATATTTTACAAAAATAATTAAAAAATGAATAAGATATTATTTTTCTTTAAAAATGCATAATCGGACTGCCTTTATTTAAATAAAATAAACTATTGTTTTCCATAAATTAAATTCAAATGTAGTTATTTTAAGAAACAAAGCATTCTTTTTATCAAAAGGATCAAGTTGTTTTCAATTATGGGGAATTAGGAAGACATTATCATATTATTTTGAGAGGATCTGTATATGTTTTAGTTCCTTTACCTTAATACAGGGAATAGTTATTAAATAATTAAAAAAGGATAGAGAACTTTTAGTAAAAAAAATTCACAGAAAATTCAGATTTATATAAAAATAATAACTTTGTTAGTTTATTAAATAATATTTTTAATAATAAATAATAGTAAAAGATACTAACGTTTCAAAAGATATCCAGAATTTATCTAATAATAAAGTTTTTTAATAATATTGTTTTAAGAAAAAATTTAAAATTATAGAAAATAAATTTATGACTGAAATTATTAATAGAAAAAAAGAAGATATTCAAAATATAAATAGTTTTACTAATTTATAAAACGAAACCGATAAATGTGTACATTTTGATACTTAATAATAGAATAAGAGTTTATATAATTAACCTAAAATATAAAAGAATATTGAAAATCTGCCTAATAATATTAAAAAAAAATTTCCGGAATTTTAAATTGCTTAAATTCTTAAACCAGGTGAATACTTCGGAGAAATAGCTTTATTGATAAAAGAAAGAAGGTTTTTTTATTTTATTTTGTTTTTTAAATAATTAAAAAATAAAGAACTGCAACTATATTATGTAAAGAAGATACTGATTTAATGGTTTTAAGTAAAGAAGGATTTGATAAAGTTGCAAAATAATATCATATGCATTTTTTATAAGAAAAATATTAGTTTTTATAATCTTTTGAGTATTTCAAAGGATTAGTAAATAGTCAACTTAATGAAATTTTGGTTAATATGATTATTAAAAAACATGTTTAGGGAAAAGTTATGTACTAGTATGGAGATTAGGTTGATAGTGTGTACTTTATAAAAAGTGGAGAAATACAAGTTTTTAAAATGATTGAAATTGAAAATCAAGAAAATAAAAATCAACTTTTAAATAAGAAAAAAATTTTTAAGGAAATTTCCTTAAAAATCTTAACTAAAAATTAAAGTTTTGGAGAAGAAGAAATTTTATTGAATAAAGATTTAAGATAATTTAAATGTAAGGCTTTATAAGAAGCATAAATATTTGAAATAAAAAAAAATACTTTATTATAGTTTCTTAAATTATTTAAAAATACAGAAATATTTGAAAATGTTACATTAAATAAAATTAAATGGTAATTTTATTTTATATTCTATTTTTTATATTTTTATTTATTTATTAAGGATTTAGAATAGAGAAAATTTTATAAAAAAAAATTTTTTAACTAATATAAATATTCCAAAAATTTAAATTAAAAAATTAATTCCATTCTAATAAAAAAATTATATTAGTACTTATTAATAAATATAAGATTTTAATAATACATTGCATATAAATGATTATATAAAGAAATAAGATTTCTAAATTTCATAAACTTAAAAATCAATTAATAATTCTAAATATTTTTAATCAATTTCTTAGCATTTAAATTGTATTTAAACAGATTAAAATTAAACTCATAATATTAATTATACATATAGAAAATTATAAGCATTAAATTACACTTCTAATAATACAGATAATTAGTAAAATAAATATTTTTTTAGAAACATGAATTCCTCTTCAAATAAAATACTATCTAATTCTATTAAAAATGCTGATTCAAATTCTAAATTATCTTTAATATGCAAATCATATACTACTACAGAAAGATAAATTTAAAATTAAAAATGCTAATATATTGAAAATGTATTGAAAATAAGTAAATTGTAAAAAATAAATTAACGCTTAAAAATTAATTAAGATTAAAGATAATCGATAAATAAAAAATCCTTACTTTAGAAATTTTTAAAATAAAAATAATAAATGTACATAAAAGAATGAATAAAAAAAAAAATATTTTATTTAAAACAATTTATATATATGTATTTATATGCGTAAATTTTAAATTTTCTTAATTCATTTGCCTATAAAAATGCAAAAAGTGGGATTCACCTTCATTTAGAAAACTAATGAAATAACCGTATTTTTTTTGGAAACATTAAATATTTCTTAAATTTTTTAATCAATATTGTAATAAATTTCACTTTTATCCAATTTACTGAGTATAATTCTGGGAATAATATTATTATCTTGAGTTTTTTTCTTTACAACTTTAATAATTTTATCCAATTTAGCATCATTTGTGTTAATTTTAATTTCATCAAAACTCACACTATATTTCAAAATTTTTTTAAGTTTTTCACTTTCATCTACTATAAGTACTGTGTTTCCGCTTTTAATAATATTATCTAATAAATCCAATTAACCATTATTATAATTTGTTGAGAAATCGTTAGTAATAATTTTCTGAGAATCGAATTTATCAAAAATCTCGATTCTTAATTTTGCCAAACTTAAGCAACTTCTAGCATCTTCCAAAGAGCAATGAGATCCTTATTAGATTTTATAATGAAGGAATTTTTAAGTTAAATCTTTCAGTTTTAATTTCCTCTCGTTTTTTGTCAAAAAAAGAACACTAGTATCTATGCATTTATTGTGAACAATATTTAAGGCCATCAAATCGTTTTCTAAAGAATGACCTACTAATATTGTTTCGCTACATACGTATTATAAAAAAATATCTTGGGCGTTTTCGAGTATATTTTTAACGTCTTTTAGAGTTTCGGCACTTATTCCGCTGTATTAAGTATTGTAGTTTAATATTGGATGCGAAGGAAGTACGTACATATCAATTAAAAGTTCTCCTTCGAAATTTACTAGAGTCATTCTGGCTAATTCGAATCCTTTTTCTGTTGAAACCTAATTTATTTTTTAAATTTTATTTTAAAATTATTTTATATTTTATTTTAAAAAAATTACCATTTCACAATCTAAGGCTAATATTCGATTTTCTAAAGAAACACTTTCTATAGGTAATTTATTTTATTAAGTAGACTTAAATTCTTAGAATTATTAAATATTTGGGTAAAGATTTTTAGTTAATAAGGGTTCAGATAAACAGAATTAGGAATATTTAATGTAAATTTTTTGTGTATAAGGAGTATTTTTGGGAATTTAAATTACTGGTTTTTTTATTGAATTTAATAAAGGAATATTTTAATCTTCATAAGTATTAATTTGGAACAAATCTTCCCAATAATTATTAACTTAGTTTTTTTAATTATTTGTATTTTCTTCATCTTATTAGCGAAAAACTGCAATATTTTCTTTATTGTAAAATTGGTATACAAATGGCATTTCAATTTCTTTATTATTTAATTTTTTCTCGAAATCTTCATCTACTTCAATAGTTAAAGATATAAAGTTTTACATTAAGTTTTTATCCTTTATTTAAATATATAAATTATAAGTATATATATTTTTTTACTTAAATTGTTATCCATAATGGATTAATTCCATTTTTGGTAAATAACCATTAAAATAATTATTAAAAAGCCTTTTTTTATGTGAGTTTTCTAGACTTATTTATGTCTGTTACTTAAACTGTGCTTTAATTAGTTTGATTACTGTTTGTTTTTATTTATTTCTTTGTTTCTTCATTTAACTATTGTTATTCATCTTTTTTTATTTTAATATAATGTAAAATTATTTTATATATATTTTTTTATTACTTTTATCTTTTTCCAATTAATAAGTGTTAGTTTGATTATATTTTCTTTTCTTTTTATTTATATTATCTTCAACTTGTTTTTAAAACTATTATATTCTTTATTAATTATGTTATATAAATATTGAGACGTAATTTTAATTCATTTTTTTTTTTTTTAATAAAAACTAAATAAAAATATAAATTTAGATTTTATATATATCATTAATATTTTACTAAATTTAATATACTATATATATAATTATTTCTATATAAAAAATATTTATATATATCGTATATATATATAATTTATTTTATTTTTCAAGATTTAAATATCATTACATAAGTTTATAGAATATATTTCGCAGCCTAAAAGATCTTATTCTAAATTTCATAATTCTAATTATTATTTTCATATCCTATCATTAAACAAAATTTGCTTTAATTTTCATTGTACATAATTTACATTGAAAAAATTTAATTCAAATCTTAGAAATTAAATTTTCCACAAAGAATCTATTAATTGTGAGTATTTTTTCCTAAATTTACAAAAGCGGAGAAATAATTTACTAAATCTTAATAATTATTTATAATATTTTTATCTATTAATTATTCTTCAGATCTATTTATTTATATAAATATTTTTTATATAATTATTATTTTTCATATATATACTTTAATATATTTATGTTAGTCTATTTTTTATCGAAAAACTCTTTCATTTATTAAACTGTTATATTTTTAATTTCAGATAAATATTTATTTATAGAATTTGGAATTGCAAAAGTAGTCTTTATTTATTTTTAATTTTATTTGTATTATATTGTTCCTTATAATATTTTAAATATGAAACTATTTATTTCTATTACTAACTCTTGTTAATATTATTCGTTTGGAGTAAAAATATCAGGAAAATTGCTAGGTTTTTTATACACTTTTATAGTGTCATCACCAAAATAGTTTATTTAAACATTTTCTAGTGGAGTATTTTTTGATTTATTTTCATAAAAAAGGGTAATATATACATATGTTTTTCCATCATTAATCTTTTTCTCTGAAATAATTCCAATATTAAGATTTTGATCAGAATAAATTGCCATTTTTTACTTTAAACAGGCTTTTTTGAATTTAGAAAATTAAGAATCATCAACAGTTAAATATGAAAAATAATTAAAATCGTATTTAATTAAATTTTAATTATGAATTTATTAATTTTATGTTCTTTAACAATTTAAAACAGAATTCTAAATAAAAAAAATTAAAATTAAAATAAAAATAAAGAATTACTTAGTAAATTTCTTGATAATTTTTAGAATTATTCATTACTTAATCAACAGAAAAATCAGAATTATTAATATATTAAAATCTATGTCTTTCAGGAGATATAGTATTTTTAACTTTAATAGTTGTAAGTAACAAATCATTTTCTTTTTTTAAAGTATCTAAACCCCTTTATAAATCCGTTTCTTTTTAAATTTATGAATTTTTTATATTAATTATAGTATCTTGAGCATTTTTTAATTCGTCATTATAATTCTTTTTATTTATTTTGGAGTTCCTTTTTCTAATAATTATTATTATTTTTAGAAATATTCCTACTTTTTCTTATAATTTTTAAGAAATTTACTTATTCTAAATAACTATATCGGATATAGTTTGTTCCTAAAAATCAAGACTAATTATTTTATTTATTTACTAAATTTTGAAGATCTTAAATTTAATTTAAAAATTGCTTTTATTCTTAGTATAACTTATTTATTTCAGATTCTTATTTTTCGTTTTTTTCGTTTAATTCTTTTAATATATCAAGCTCTTGTTTAGAAAGCTTACTTGCATTTAGTATGCGATCTATTGCTTATCCTTATTATACATTTAATTCTTATATTCGATCTTCTAAATTTCGTTTTTCTAATTTTAAAAAATTTATTGTTTCTTTGTTTTCTTCTATCTATTTATTTTTTTTTTATTTACAATTTTTTTAAATAAAAATATTTTAGTTTTATAAGTTTTTTATTTATTTTTATATAAATTTTTACAGTTTACATATGCTTTTATATTTATTTTTAGCTTTGTTTTGTCGATTATTCTTAAATTTCTTTCAAATTTTACGATTATTGTTAAATTTGAATTATATTTTATTCTTATTAATGTAATTTTTACTATTTCTAAATCAAGTTTTAATTTAATTCTGTTATTTAAATATCTTTTTATATTAAATTTTATTTATAAATTTAAATTTATGTTTCTAAATGTAATAAGTTTTGATTTTCTTTATCTAATTAAAGGACTATATTTATTTTTTCATCTTATAAAAGTTATATTTTATTATTATTTTATATTATTTCTTATTATAACAAATCATTTTTAACTTTCATTTCATTAAATTTACTATCATTTTCATTTAATTCCTGTTTTTATTTTTTTATATTTTCTGATTTTAATTCTAATATTTAATTTTATAATTCTTAAATATGTAAATCTTTTTCGCTTTTTTATTATAAAAGAACTGTTTCCTATAACTATAAATGTATTTACTTATTTTTGTAAATTACTTATTTATATTAAAAAGCTTTTTTAGTTTTATTCCAAATATTCATTTAATTTTAATATTGTTTTTTCATTTTCAAATTCTAGTATTTATTTTTGGTTAAGAAAATTATTTTATTATTATTATTTGCTCTATTCTAATTATTAAAGTATAACTTTCAAATGTAAAATTTCTTTTTATTATTGGTCATTTTATTATTAAATTTATTAAATTTTTTAGTCTTTTTATTTGGAATTTTCAATCTCTTAATAAATATAGACTTATTTTTATTTATTTTCTTATTTTAATTTTTCTAGATTTTAATTTAAACTTTCATTTTCAAAATTTTAAATCCTTTTTTAATTTTCTAATCTTTATACAGATTATTCTAGCTCTTTTAATAATAATTAATCAGTTTACATTTCTACTTTCATAAAAGGCTAAACTTATGATTACTTACAATAAAAAGGAACTTATTTAATATATTATTAACTATAAGTAGATTAATTTAAATTTTTATATTATTTTTATGATTATGAACCTTAATAAAGAGCGCTTAAGAACTATTTTTAAATATAATTAAAAAATTATATATATAAATATATGTATAGATATAATTGATATATTATATTATATAATATATATATATATATATATATATATTTATTTATTTATATATTTATATATTTAATTAGTTAACTATTTTATTAATTTTAATTATATTATTTTAATATTTTTTCTATAAATTTCTTTTTTATATATAATTGCAATTTACTTTGTTATTTTATTGTTTTTTTATTGAGTTATAATTATTCTATTCAATATCAGACATAAAATTATTATTTTTATTTTCTTCTTATTTTTATTCATTATGTTTTTCAGTATTATAAAATTTATTTTGATATTAATATTATATGTTTTATTTTTCTAATTGAATATGGATTTATTTTTATTAGAGACTTTAATTGTCTTTATGTTCATGCCACTTATTTTACAGTTTGTTTAATTCCTAAATCTATTCATTTTCATCAATATTACTTAATTTGATTTGTTTGTAATTATTTTTAATTTCATTTTCATATTAATTATTATAAGTTTTACCATCTTGTTAAATATGTTAATTTTTATTTTCTTATGGAATATTTTAAATGTTAATTTATTTTTAAATATTTTAAATTTTACTTTCTTATTGATTATTATAAAAGTCACATTGATGTGGAATATTAGATAATTTATTTTGTTATTAATTATTTTATAATTTTGTTGCCTATTGGTTATTTAATATTTTACTTTCTTAATGAATATTTTAGATATTACTTTCTTGTGGAATACTAGATAATAAACTTTCTTATTAATTATTTATTAATTTACTTGTTTATTAGTTATTTTATTGAATATTTTAAACATTACTTTCTTGCGGAATACTAGATAATTTGCTTTCTTATTAATTATTTAATAATTTACTTGTTTATTGATTATTTAGTATTTTGCTTTCTTATTGAATATTTTAAAGGTTACTTTGGTGTGGAATAGTAGATAATTTACTTTCTTATTAATTATTTAATAATTTAGTTGCTTATTGGTTATTTAAAATTTTACTTTCTTATTGAATATTTTAAATTTTATTTTCTTGTGGAATACTAATTAATAGACTTTCTTATTAATTATTTAATAATTTAGTTGATTATTGGTTATTTAATATTTTACTTTCTTAATGAATATTTTTAATATTACTTTCTTATGGAATACTACAAGATAATTTACTTTCTTATAAATTATTTTTTTCATTTTAGAGGAATTTAATTTCTTACTAATGTATATTTTCATTTTTTTAAATTTATTCTTGCGATTTAATTTATTATTTTTCTTGACTTTATTAAGCTTTTGTTTATAGATTTTCCTCTTATTAGAAATTATTTTATATATTTGATTTATTTTGTTTTTAATACTCATTACTATTAAATTATATTTATTAACTTTCTTATTTCTTATTATTTCCATCGTCTGTAATTTGTAAACTAATTAAAGGATATACTTATTTCTTCATATCATTAAAAAAAATTTATTTATTAATAAAATTTTGCAATACACTAATTATTTATAAACAAATTTCTGATTCATTAAATAGTACTTCTTATAAATCAATATTTATATTTAAATCTTCGCTTATTATTTAATCTGTATAATCTGAAAATTCACTCATTTGTAAAGAACAAACTTATATAATATCAAGATCATACTATTTTTCATTTGATTATTCCAAAGTTTCTTTTAAAAGTTACTTTATGCCTTTAAATTCTTTTATTTTTTCACCAATTTCCATTTCTAAATTTTAGGTTTCATTGCCTTTTGTTGTTTACATTGGCTGGTTATTTATTTTTTATTCTTTGGATTGCTCTGTTTATTTACTTTTTTCTTCTTCTTTTTTTACTTTTTACTGTAAAACTCCATTTATAAATTTTTATTTATCTTCAGGTTTATATGATTATAACTTTTTTATAAAATTTAATATATTTAATATAAAATAATTTTTTACTTTTTCTGGAAATTTAACGCCTTCTTTTTTCAATTTGTTTTAAATAATTACAAATTTAGAAGGCTAAGTTTCATCTAATATATCATGAGGAAACCAAATTGACCACATAATGAAATCTTCGAGAATATTAATATAAAAAGTGTTTGAAATAAGTTCTTCTTCTGCATTAGGATTTGCTTTTAAAATAATTTTTGGGTTTTTAAGTTTTAAATATTAAGCAAGTTTATTTAAAAATTCGCCTTCTTATACATAATACGTAAAATCCAGATTTCCTACTTACATACATTAACGTAATAAATGAACGGCTCCAAGTCTTGCGAATGGTTTATTTTAATCATTATGTATTATTTCTTAGAGATTTGCTAGTAAATTTGATATTATGTCAGTGTTTTTTTCTTTTAACTTTTCGACGTATATTTTTGATTCATTCCATCTTTGACGATTTTCTAAGATTTGGGTTAATGTTTAAGTATCCATTTTTTTAGTTATTTTATTTTTATTTTAATATTATTGTTATTAATTTTTATTTTATAATATTTCTTAAATGTTATATTTATTATATTTTTTATTATTAAAAACTTAATAAAGTTAATATTTATATTTTTACAACATAAATTTTAACAAATAATATTAATATTTTTTTATATAAATTATTTAAAAAAAGACAGTCTTATTATTTTAATTATTTAATAAGGCTTGTATTTATTATTAAAGACTATAAAAGTTAACTATTATATTTTTAAAATATTTAAACTTTAACAAATAGATTTATAATTAGAAATTATTAAAAAAAGGTTATGTTTATAATTTTTAATAAAATTATAAATTTTTCGAAATTTTAATAAAGGAATACAAAAAAATATATATTTTATAAAATCTTATTTTTTTAACTAAATACTATTTTTTCATAAATCTTCTGAATCTATTTTAAGTCCTCCTTTGTTCTTTAAAAAAATATAATAAACATACATTAAAAATAATTATATATTTTTTAATTTTACTAAAGGAACTTTCTTATTATTAACAGTTACTATATTATCGTATTAAGAAATATTTTCCATATCAACCCCTAAACAAGCCTTTAAAAATAAATTAAATTTGAAAAAAATTATTACGAAATATAAAAAAAATTACTTTTGTTTAAACATTACAAAGTTCATGTTCCATTTCTTCATTATTACCTCTATTTAATAAAGCTTTTTCTACAGTTTCTTCCCATGTCTTTATTTTCAAAAAAAAATATTAAAGATTTTATAAATATTTTTAAATACTCCCATAAAAGCTTAACATCCTTTAACCATATCAGGTGGAGGGAATTCATAAACTGCAAAATTATTTTATCTACAAATTCCATCAATTGCATATGCAATCTTTGTATTATTATTAATAAAATTATATACATATATATAATATTATATTTTTTACATCGGATTCTTTACGAGAATCACGTATTTTTTTAAAAATTTCCTTAAGGACTGCTTAGCAACTATTGCAATATAATTCTGGCTCGATAGCAGAAGGTCTTTTGCCCGAATTTTTCGAAGGTTTTTTTCTGCATTCAAACAATGAAATTGATATAAGTATAAATATTATGAATTTCATTTTTTTATTTATTGTAATAAATTAAAAAAGATATATATAATTTAAAATATTTTTTAAAAATCTTTAAAATTAAAAACTAATAACTAATTATATATTGTTTATTTTTAGTTTTTATATAAAAAAATTACATGCTTTAACAATATTGATTCAATAAAATCAATTTTTTTAATAAAACTCAAAAAGTTTTTTTTCTTCAATTTAAGGATTTTCTGGAAAAATAATTTATTTTTCACTATTAGAAATAAAATTAAAAACATCATTTATATTTGCTAATTTTTTAGTTTTTTCTGAATAAGTTTTTTATTAATTTTACAAAAGAATACAATTTTCTGTACATTCTTTTTTTAAATTTTAAGCATACTGATTATTTAAATTATTAAAATCATTTTCTAAAATAAAAAAAAAACCAAAATAATTCTTTCCAAATATATTTTTAAGTCTTTTAGCCACATAATTAATATCTTAACTAAATTTTCGATCAAATAAATACATAAAATATATTATTTTAAATTTATTATTTTTTTAAAAAATAAAATCACCCTTTATATAATTAAATTCCACCAAATACTGCACAGCGAACATTTTTAAATTTTTTTCTTTAAAATTCGCATATTTTTCTTATATATCCAAAAGAGAAAGTGAATAATAATCATCAATAAATTATTTTAAATTTTTTTTATTAATTTCCAAAGAATCTACTGGAAAAGCAATCTTGGAAATATAATCAATGCGGAAAAATGCTATTTAAGGTAAAGGAGCATTGTCTTAAATGCCAAACATTTTTTTCTTTTCCATATTTAAATTACCCTCCACCCATAAAAAATAAAGCTTCTTATGAAAATAAGTTTTCCCTAAATCTTCCAAAAGAACCAATAAATTACCGCTTTTTTCAATTTCGACAATAGAATCGATTACTGCGACTAATATGTGTTATTTTCCCTCATAAACTGGATAATTTTCCATTGTAAATTCATCACAAAGCTTTAAAGAGGTATTTTTAATTGTTTTTTTTAAGTCTTTCATGTCCACTATGATATCGCTTAAATCAATAACTTCATATAAAAAATCTCTTTTGATTACTATTGAATTAAGTGAAATTTAATCAAACCATTTTTCTTTATATTTTTCCTTTGCTTTTAGAATTTATTGTCTATCTTATAAAATACTGAAATATAATTCACTTCGCGCTAATAATTCTATAGAAACTTTTTTAAAATGATCTATTTCTTCAAACATTTCTTCTTTGTCGTAAAAAATACCGATTATTTAGACTGTTTCTATATTATTATTTTAATCATCTTTTTCCATTTCTTTTTTTTAAATATTTTTTTCTAAATCTGGTAATGTATTGAAAATTTAAAAAGGATATTTTATTCTTTCTAAAAATCTTCGAATTCGGGTTATATCTAATAAATCATAATATATATGATATTATTTTAGGCTTTCGAAGAAAATAATAAAAGGAAATCGCTTTATTTGTTAAAATTTTGTTTAAAATTCTTTGTTTTCTGATAATTCAAGCCTTCCAAGTTTTATATTTTAAAAATTTTTTTAAATTATTTTCTTTATTCTGGCAAATTTTTATTCATAAATGCAACAAGATAGGCAAGATTTTAATGTTGCGATTAATAAAATTTGGTTGTTTTGAAAAATTTATGTGTAATTTTTATCACCGATATATATATCAGAAACTGAATAATATGGATAATTTTTATTACAATTTTTATTTAGAAAATTTTGAGGCAAGTTTATTGAATTTAATAAGGTTAGTATGAAATATAATATAATTATTTAAAATATTATATTCATGATAAATTTTATTATATGTATATGTTATGATAAAATAAATAAATATCTGATATTTATCTTAATATTAATAAATACAAAATGATAATATTTTTAGGTAATGTAACAATTTATATAATTATATTACTATCAATAAAATACTAATATTTAAATATTTTTTATTTATAAAAAAGCCTATTTCAATTAATAAATGATTTATGATCTATTAATCTATTAATATTAAATAGTTTCTTAACATATAATTTAAATAATAATATTTATTAATATAGCATCTTTTTTTAATTTTAAATTTAATTAGAATATTATTTTATAATTAAAATAACAAATAAAATTGATATGTTTATTAAGTTTTTATTTGCATTTAATAGGAATCTGCAATTGATAATGTTTCTAGGTTTGGGTTACAGAAGATATGTAATTTATTTATCTTTTAAAAGTATTATTAAATAATTTAAGTTTGGCAATAAAAGATTCGGAAATTAAGTTTTTTAAAAATAGGAATTGATTTAAATAAATAGATAGATGGGTTTTTGATAAAATCTATGGATTGAATTTATTACTTTTACCTATTGGAAAACTATTTTTTATCGAAAACATCTTTGGATTAAGATTTAGATAAAGAAATTTATTATTTCAATATGAAGCTAAAAAAACTAAAGTGTTATGTTCATTAATTTATGTTTGATGAAGAGAATCGAATATTAATAATTAAAAATAACCCATGAATCTAATCTGTTAGTAAACATTTTTAATTTAAATATGAATAAATTTAAAATAAAATAATTAAAAACCAAAAGTTTTAATAATAAAGTATCATTTTATTTTTATAAGAAAAATAAAATTATAAATAGTTTGTTTATTTTCTGTTATATTTAAATTATTTTTCATTAAAAACTAATTTTAATATTATTTTATTTTAAAAAAAAATTCTTAATTTATAAAATATAAATTTTGATCTATTCATTGTTAATAAATATTACTAAAGTTATAAGAGTTTATTTATTTATATATATATATATATATGACAAATTATTGGATTCACATATATATTTTTTTTTTATATATTTTTTAATAAATTAATCGAAAAAAAAGACAATAAAATTTTTCTCGCATTTTTTGATTTAATATTTTATAAAAGATTATGAAAACAATAAAAAAAAATTAATAAAATATAATAAATATCATATTTATTTATTAATAGATTCTAATTTTTAAAATTTTTAAGGAGAAACAGGTGCAAGAAAGCTATTAATATTTGTTATATTATTTTTTGTAAGAGAAGAATCTTTGTTTGCCGGCGATAATTACTATTTTCTTAATTTAACTGGAGTATTGTCATTTATATGCAAACTATCTCTTTAGAAAATGATATTTTAGTCAACCTATTCGTAAGTAATAATATTCTAAAAAATTCCTGTCCCCATCAAATAAGTTACTGGTCTGGTTTAATTTTTTTATTCACTTACATTTGCGTTTTATAATTTGAAGTCTTAAAATCCTTTCATTTTGACGTTATTTAAGTTTTTTTTGACCTTCTTCTTAGTATAGATTGTTTTTCAATATTTTTTTATTCACTTATATTTGCGTTTTATAATTTAATGTCTTAAAATAATTTCATTTTGCATTTATTTAA